AGTAGACAATTATTTCCGGTAGCCTGATTAGGGCAATTAGAATGTAGTGCCAGCTTTTTTGTTTATTTTGAACATACGCAGACCGCTCAAGCCTAATTGGAACGTCTCAAGCACTCCTCTCTCTCTTTATCTTTCAACTTTTCAAGTGTGCGATTTTCGCTACTAACGTAACCTTTTTTACAATTAGCCAACTTACAGCTAAGATCAAAAAAACATTCGAAAGGACAGTTGGGGTTAGAGCATGGTTACTTAAACAAATACGTCTAGCAACGGAAAGAAGAACAATTTCGGAAATACAGCGAACCTCCTGGGAAAGCCCTTAAATTTGCTTAGGACTACTTAAGCACTCTTTGCAATATGCAAAATCCTTGTCTTGCAATGGTTTCCTTTCGTTCTTGCCCCAATCCGCTGTAGGCAGGATCGAGGCCGAAGAAAAGTAAAAACTGTCACTGATTGCGTTGCCTCCTCGTTAGCCAACAAGTAACAAAACAGAGTAGGGGAAGGAGCTGGTTGCTTTTCAAAAATATTTATTAATTATTTTCCAGGAAGTTTAGAGTTTAAGGTGCTGATAAGCTCGGAACGAACATTGTTTCAAAGTTCCCTTATCTGTAAATCTTGTTGTGAGCGCGTGTATCGTCATGAAGGATGCGTGAATTACAAAGGAGTAGACTTAGATAACAGCCGGTTTCATTCTCTACGCTGTTTATCAACTGTTTATCTAACAGGTTGTTAAGTTAATGACAATTTAAATTTTAAATTGTTTCTGCACCTTTTGTAAAGCAGCTGTAAAGGTAATAAGCACTGTTTAAAACAACAGTGGTGTGTAATCGCTCGATATGCATCAAGGACACTGTTATATGCTGTCAATCCCCGGCAATATACTTGCGAGCGTTAATTTGCGGTCTTCTCAGAAGACCGGTTCATAACCTCACCAATGTGTAAATATCTCCGTCTATATTGCTCTTTATGGCACACCCATCTTAACAAGAAATATTTTCGCCTTCCTACACGCGATTCAAAAGGCAGGTGGAAGGTTTACCCTGTTCTCTGCAAGAAATTGCACCCTAAAAGGTAGGGCATGCACGATCAATGAAGGATTTTCAGACAATTTGATTCTGCACTGCTAGTTCTTAAGAGGGTATTACGAAATTTGCGAAATTATTCAAAAGTAAAGATAACTCCCCAACTCTCGACACCTCACCCTCTCCATTTATATAAATTACGGAGAGCGCTTGTACAATGAAATCTCACATTTCAAGAATTGGTGATTGAGAGGCAGAAAGTAGAGGTACATTTTCACTTCCTTCATCTCCTGACCTTAGCACCCCTCTCCCTCTCCACAAATCCCTTCCCAGTGCTAATGAGTACGAACAATCCCTACTACCCTACCGGTCTAGTCCTCAAGCAGACGAAAGACTTGAACCAACTACAATGTACTACATTCTGTATGTTGTTGAGATATTTTTTCACTTTTACTCTGGCGTCAATGCATTATTTTTGCATCAAACTTCCCAAAAATTTTCGTATTGCACTTGTCTCGAAAGCACAACAAGAGAAAAGTGGATTTGCACCCTAAATGTTGCCAAAAATTATTCGGAGAGAAGAGCTCATACTCGCGTCCGTACCTAATGCTAACATAAGCTTAGCGCTGAATTAAGCGAACTAGTTTTTCGGTCGAAACATAGCGCCGTCAATCGCGTAATTTCGTTTGCTAACCAGCACTTTGCAGAATACACGAGTTTGGCAAAAGTACAGGTGCAGGCTTCCATCTATATACTTCGATTTGCTATAGATGTACCAGCCAAGACTGGAAATTTTCGAGTACTTGAACGAATTCGACAGCGTAAGGCCAGGGGAAACATGAAACATGCAAGACGAGGAAAATTGCTTATGAAGTTATAAGAGAGGTGTTGTGAACAAATGTTGGAGCGTTCACTGACGTTTAGTACTGTAAAAATAAGAATAACATGTCGTTATAGTAATCTTCCCCTAAATTATTAGAAGATGATGAGCATTTTCTTCTGCTTCGATGCTTCAAAACTGTAACTTATTTTATACAAAATTGTAAAAAGTTGGAATTGCAACAAACTTCATTACCTGGTCAACAAAGATCTGGAACTTGCTGTCGTGAGCACGGATACGGATGTCGATGTCGTCTCCTTTCTTGTAGGGATTGCTCTTTCTCTCTTCCTTTCCCCATTCTCCCTTAGCGAATGTGTTGCAGACGATCTGGAAAATAAAACGACTAAGAAATGCTTGGGAAGGTATGTACGTATATTTAAATTACATTTATATATATTATATTTCTGCATAGGAAAGCAACAGACCATGAGCAAAGTAAAAAAACAATCTTCTTTGGACAATTCACTACTGCTTCTTAAAAAATTTGATGCATTCATATGAAAACAGGGCTGTTCACGCCTCATTTATTCAAACATTGCATCTTCAAAATCAAATCCTTTGTTTGATTACAATGCCTAAGAAATGCATAAGAAAAGAATGAAAGTCTTGTATTCCCATTCTCTAGCTGCAACAAATCCAATTAGAGGAAGATAGAAGGCGAAAGGTTTTCTAAGCGTCAATTTATGGCCTTAGTTACGCATTCCCTTCATTTCGCAGTTGAATTCATTGACTAAGCATGAAAACGTCGTCCACGTAGGTGTAGAGAGCCATATAGCAGCAATCGAGAAAGCGAAAACAGAGATACTTGTCACTTGAATATTCAAAGATGTATGCGGAACTGGTGCTG